TGGTCTATGCTTTATTTATTGGCTTTGAGAAATCCTGGAGCATTTGTGAAATGCCAGATGCCTAGAGAAGGAAAATATTGCCCCTATATTCAAAATTAGGGGAAAGGAGGATCATCTGACTATTGTAATTCTAATACAATTGAATTACATATTGTAATTCTGGGAAGATTCTAGGAAAAGGCATAAAGTGATTGATTTGTAACAGAACTTAGCATAGATCTGACAAAAACAAGTGCTGCTACACTAACATTATTTCATTTAATCAGGTAACTTCCTTAATAGATAGTGGGGTGCCTGGACTAGTCCTTGCAGTTTTCTTGGCAAGGTTTTTTGGAAATGGTTTGCTAGGGCTATATCAAACTGGCTCTTGCTATTGACATTATGTACCTTGATTCCAATTGCATGACATTGTGATTAAGGGTATAATAAGGGGAACATGGCTTAACAATTAAGTGAATACATAGTTGCCTTAAAAATCTTATTTAAAAGGTGTCCATCAATGGTTCCAGATCAAATTGCAGAGAGGTATCAAGTGCAGTGCCATAAGGTTCAGTCTTCAGTATTTGATACGCAGTACACTTATCAATTTTTCAAATAACACAGAATTTTGTGGGACAACCGATATAACAAAAATCAAAATCACCTTGATAAATTAGAGAAATGGGGTGAAAGAAATAGAATGAAAGTTAACTAAGATAAATGTAAAGTCATGCACTTAGAAATCAATTGCTTTACAATAATATTTGTGAAAAATATATTGAAATAGTAGCTGATTACAAATTAAATGTGAACCAGTAGTATGATGTGGCTGCAAACAAATGCAAAACTGGTCTGTGTCAACAGAAATACAGTTTCCAAATCACAAACAGTAGAATCTGCACTGGTTAGACCCCATCCTGAGTATTGTTCTGGACACAAAATTTTATGAAGGATTCAGAAAACCTGCAACAGGTTCAGAAAAGGGCAAGAATAAAAGAAGATCATGACTAATGGTCAGCTTAATCAAAAAGTCATCCTAGAACAATTGGTCCATTTGCAGACATGACTAATGAAAGAAGTCATTCCAGAATGAACAGGAAGACCTTCCATTTCTGTCCTATATTATTGGATCAAATGTGGGCATAGAATGGCTAGGAAGACATAAGAGTTCCAGTGATCAGTAGCTGAACCATTCATTCTGAGGTATGGAGATATTGTGGAAGACTAGAATCTGAAGATAACATTCCAGAGATCAGATGAAAACAGTTTGTCCCAACATCTCCATTCCAAACAGGGAATAAAATTGTAAGGATGTCCAGATTTTGACTAATTAAAAGTTGCTGTTCAGAGTCCATCATAAGTGGTGTGAGAAGAGAGAAGAAAAGGGGCTAGTTAATTCAGTTCTTCATTTAGTTCCTCACTCAATTTTCTCTCTAACCAAGTATCATAGTTCCTAACAACTTCCACAGGCTTTCATCTATGAGAAAATGGCCAAAGAGCAGGACTGGCTATCAGTTCTTCTTAGATATGCACCTAAGGGTAAATTACTTTATGACCTCTGTTATTTTAATCATTCTTAACTAGGAACAATTAGGAAGGAAATTCAGGATTATAAGTGTAATTTTTCCTTAAGTATGTAACTTGGGGCTGAACAATTGCTAAGTAAATGAAAGTATTATAATTTGTCACTTGCTGGTATGAATATTGCATATGATACATGAATGAGAACTGGAGAAGGGGGTGGAACTTATAAGAGTGAATGAACTGGATACCCCTATGAGCCCCAGTGTTAGGATTTCCAGCACTTACTGATCATAATAAGCTGTGTTGGGGGGACAAAAACATATTTCATGCCAAGGATCTATTTCAAATTACATCATAATTATGAAAAGGAAAGTCTTCCAAGGAAGACATGAATATTCTTACATATTAAGTTCAAGGTTAGTTGAACTACAGTAGTTAGAATTTCAGGTTACTCTGTTGAGAAAAATGCCCAAATACAGAAGTAGGAGAATTAGATCAGGATCAGTTCTGGCTGTACGTTTTCCAGTCAAGAGTCCGGTTTACTTCACTGTTAAAGAGCAATTCAGCTCCATTTTAACAACATAACATGAAAGCGTACTGCTAATGCCAAGTCTTTACTTGAGAATCTAATAAAAAGGCACTATACAGTGGGTTAATGTATGTCCTATGCAGCCAGGTTTCTTAGATAATAATTGTATCCCTTGATTTTCTTGTCTCTTTATTATGTTGAAAAGACAACAGTGAGGTAGATGATCTCCACTGAAACTAAGGAAAGCAAGGACTAACCAGAATAACCTTGCTAGTTCTAACATTCTTCTTTCACAAGCACAGCCAAATTGCTGTTAGCAATTCACGAGCTTTTAAAAATTCATGAGGTGTAAAGGCACAGAGCGGCCTCTTGCAGATAGAATCCATCTAACCTTGTGCTAACTGCATTTCCAGGTCTCTTAGCATTACAGATGGATTGTCATAGCTGTATAATGTGTGGACTTCAACTCCCAGAATTCCCCAGCCAGCACGCTGGCTGGGGAATTCTGGGAATTGAAGTCCACACATCTTAAATTGACAAGGTTGAGATACACTGGACTAGACTGACATCATCTAAACTATTTGTTCCAACACTTTGAGGATACATCTTTCTTTTGTGTAGCTCACCAGTTTAACTCACATGATGCAGATAACTCAGGAAAGAGGAGATATATGATGCATTGTTGTAAGATCTGTTATTTTAGAGGTGAGATTTAACATATACAGCATTAGTCTCTCCAGAGTGACTTACCAAAGCAACCCAAGCACTTTTTCCACCGTGAGCTCCGCACATATATAAGAGGAAAAGCAGTGTAGAAATTACAAAGCAAAACACTGAGACAAACATCACCCAGCCTTGACTCATGGTCATGGCAACTTTGGTAGAAGCCACAAGGATCCAAACCAGGCCACCAAAGACCTACAAGAAAGTAGAAAAATAGTTTGTCACTAAGAAATTAATGTATTAGCTAGAGTTTCACAGTATGTTAGACAATGCTAAAATAGACTGGGTAGCTTGTGGTTGAGCATGATATAGAAATCCAGCCATGGTATCTTTACAAGACTTAAACAGATTTAGAAGAATGCAGTCCATTTAAAAAAAAAAAAATCTATATCCATTTTTCCTCCAAGTATAGTGTACAAGATTCCCATCACCCTGCTTTATCCTTATAATCAAACTGTGACATTGAGAGTGACTGACCCAATATCACTCTGTTAAATTCATAATGAAGTGGAGACTTTGTCTTTCTGATCCTGGCTTATATCAACCCCAATGCCATACTTGCTCACAATTAACTAACAGCAGTCTGCAGTGGTCACTCATCATCTTGGAGTCATGAGATACTACTGACCTGAATGTGGCTTGAAGTTTACAATAAGAGGTGGTTTTGTGTGTCTCTGATAAATATGATGCCTTTGGGAAAGATGTATTATCAGTCTAAGATCCCAAACCAGCACCATCTCAAAGTTAATAAAGAATTATTCTTCATCAATGGCGAGGTAGCAAGCAGAAACAGACAGGTAGCCTGGGAGGTTCCTTCAGAATCCGGTGCAATGAAATTCCATTTGGTTATCTGAATCAAATTCCTGGTAGCCACATTCTGCTGTAGCTGAAGCTTTCAGGGCATCAAGGGGCAGACCCACATTATAGTTATTCAGGTAGGAGATTACTCTATCATGAACCAGTATCAGAACAGAAATAATATGTTAATTGCTTTGACCCCTGGTGTTCTAAACATGGAACAAGCTATTTGTTTAAAAATTGTGTTTAGTTGCAGAGACTGAGATATTCTTCAATATTTTCTTTTATAAACACCCTCAGAAAACTTCTGTCAAAAGCATAATTAAAAGTTTTAAATAAAAGTGGCTTCAAACAGCAAATGTTAATACTAATTATATGTGAGGCTGTCAGACAACATGCTGCTAAGAGGACTGTTCTTCAAAGGGTTAGAAGAATATTCAAATCTAAACCAGATGGTGGTAATCTTGAATTAAAGTTTAAACTCCAAACTGCTTTGTTTGATTTATTTTTATTTATTTAAAAGTTTACATTCCAATTTTATAGTATGTGTGCCCTGGATACAAGAATGAAAACAATACTATTTGTAATTTAAAAACAAAAAAATATCCTCAGCAATCTTGTCAAAGAGCCAGTTTCTTTGGTTTCGATTTAACCAAGTACAGGTAGTTCTTGTTTAGCGACTGCTTCGGAAGTGACCGTTCACAGTTACAACGGTGATGAAAAAGTAACTTTGCAACCAATGCCCGCATTTATGACCTTCACAGCATCTCTCTCAGTCACATGTTCACCATTACGGTTAGTCAGTACAGTACCACGCTGTCTTGTGCCTGACCTGTCTTTTTTCTTTTTCTTTTCTTTTCTTTTTTTTGCCCCCTCGCAGGGCAGAGTGATAGCTTAAACAAGCTATCTTTTCCTGAGCTGCTTTTCTCTGCAGCTCAGTGCTTCCCTAAAAAATGCTAACCTCAAGTTAACCAACTCCGCTCTTCATTGTTTAGGACCCTCTGGTGGGCTTGCACTGCTGTCTGAAACTGACAAAAACCTTACAGCTGCGAGTGCACTAGGCAAACAGCCAGCATGAGGCACATTCCTTTCGATGTGTATTCCCCATTGTGTGCCTGCTTATTCTCTTGTAATCCCTTCCTCTCAAATGGATGTAAATACAA